ACAATGCTCAAACTAACCCAGTTCCTGGCTATTTCACTAGTATGCATTTTGTAATATCCACTGTTCCCAATAAACTGCTCATCTAACCATTAGAACTACCATTTAAGTGCCCAAAGTCAGATTTTGACCAGTTTTACATTGCCCCCCAAAAAATTCCAATTTAAAAAAACATTAAAAGTAAACAAAGCATTCTAGTCACTTAAAGCAACCTTCCCTCATGTACCCAAGCCTCTCTTATGTAACATGCACTCCTTTTTGAATTCATTGTCTCAGATTTTTTTTTTTTTTACCCTATTTCTGGGCTAAAAAACCCAAAACAAGAATGTTCATGTCTGGATCCCAGTAATTCATGCAGACCTAGTAAAAAGCCCATGAAACAGAACGGGGGGGCCCCTACCCATTCTAGGAAAATCACACAAATAACTTTTCTGCCCAGACTTTTTGACCCCTTTTTCTTGAGCCTTAAAATTTTCCTATATCACTTTTTATGTCTTCCTCTGTCACTTGACACCAAAAAAAAAATGAACAAAAACCCCCCTTTAACTCCCCAAATTGCTTTAAACTAAAAAACATGTGAGAGATTACTGTTTCCATCATGCACTGTGTGCGGCACTTTTTTTTGGGATGTACCCTCTGCACAGCCCCTACTCTCATGCTAGGCCAAATTTTCTGCTCAGATCAAAAATTTTGGCCCCTAAATTGTGTACTCATACATGAAGAGGCTGATGATATGACATAGTCTGACAGCTTGGGGGGTTTTGTCTTCTTTTAATTTTATCAGATTTATAAAAGCACTTTTGTTTTATATTGTCTTAACTTGTTACATGAATGTATTTTTTTAAGAGCCAAGTAGTTTAGGGCCTAAATTTATTACATTTTTTAAAAATTTGAATGGAAATTTTTCACACTTTTAATTTAAGAATATTATGTATCTCATTAAAATATAACGATTGATTTATGTTTTGACACTTACCTGCTCTGCTTTTCGCAAATAAGTGGCATGGCTCATAAGAAATTATTGCTGTTTCCATTGAAATAATTTTCAGGAAGCTGTCATCATTGAGTATCATTGCTGGTAATGTATTCTGGGGAAAGAAGAAAAGGGTTTTTTTTGGAGCAGCATAAAACTGTTCAGTTTCCCTAAAACAATGTGCCCTGGAGAAGAGAAAGCATAACTGCATGATGCATTGTGGATAGTAAAGCTGAACTTAACATCTACTTTAAAGAAAAATCCCTTAAACATATTTACCCAGTATGTAAGCAAAAGTAATAACTATTAGTATCTTGAAGCTTTTCATTTTTTCTATTAAGTAGCTTTTCTTGATAAATAATACCACATTGTTTTGAGAAATTTTTAACCTTGTTAAGATGATAAGTTCACTAACTACCTGCAGCACCTCATTTGTGCTTTTGTATGTTGAAAGTTGTTTTTTGTCGATTGTTGTAATAGATAATGAGATGCCTTAAAAAATTGTTACTAGTTGTCACACAATTATCCCATCTTGTCATATGGAGCTGTCTTGTGGCCTTCAAGATTTAAACTGAATTTATTGTCTTGTTATTCACAAATATAATTATGAGAAATTCACAAATACTTTAACATTTTGTTTTGACAAGGATAAAAACTGTATCTTGAATAAGGTTGTCATATCTGACTACCTACCTGTTGATGGTTCAGGCAATTATCCCCGAGGCCTGATGCTGGACCAGGCATAGTTGATGGGTTGATCAGTCAGGCAGTGTATCAGCACATAGTCCAACATTATCACATTACTGGGCTTACAGCAGTTAACTGCTTGGAGCAACTTTTTTTTTTTTTTTTTTTTTTTTTTGTAGGCTTGTTACTTTTTTGCATATTAATCATTCTAAATTAAAAACTATGAAATAATATACAGTAAAAATAACAGTGAATGACTTTCTCTCTGCTTGTTTCACTTTAGAATGCTGCAGATAAAATGCATTAAACTTACCTAATATAACTAATGTGACAGATTGTGTTACAATCTGTTTAAAGTGCCTTGCCACCCCTCTGAAGGATTGTTAAGAGTAGCTTATTGTAGTTATCATACAAGATGATCACTCCTTACATCAATATTGGAGCCTCTTTCTTAAGCTCAACTTTTAAAGATATGTTACTATTTTATTTTTTTATGTTTCTTGTATCTGAACTTTCAAAAGTAAGATCATCTTCCATTTTTCCTTTATGTATGGTTCTAAAATTTTGGATATTTTAATGTTAATAAAGTTTATATAGACAATTTGCATTTTATTTATAATATACATTGTAAATAATAGTACATTGTAAACAATGTTCAAAAGATACAGTATTTATTTAAAAAAAATGTCTAACAGACCACTAAGTGTTTTCATTAGGTTATCACTTAGTACAGAACTACATATGTCTGAACCTGAGAGATTGGTGACCATTACTGCTGGAATATAATTTAACTGCAAATTTGTGCTTAATCTTAATTAAATACTAGCTACATTAAGTTATTAAGGTTCACTCATTCCTTTATTAATGCCCAGTATATAAAACTACATATTCAGTAGCTGAATCAAGATATTTAGCCAAAAGTATGAAAAATTAATTTTTACATGAAACATGAATAATTGTTTGGTTAAAGCCTATTGTCTGCACATGCAATTTATCTATAAAAACATCAAGAATATTCTTATACCTAAACCAAAGTTTAATGCTTTTCCCTGAATATAATATTGTATTAATAACAGTAATTTTTTTTTTTTTTTTACACAAGGGGTCACGACAGGTACCCCAAAAAGAAAGAAAATTTCCCCAAAAAGAAATACTTTTTATATATTCTCAAAAACTTAAAATCCAATTTAATTTTACTTAGAGTTCTAAAAAACCCGTCTAAACAAACAATTAAAGAACAAAAACCCAATCCCCACTGGAAAATCCCAAACCCCACTTTAAAGAGGGTTTACTTCCCTTTCCAGACTCAAACAAAAAATTAGGTTTCTGACTCCCCCACTTATGTGGGAATTGTGTCCCCGAAGTTTCCATTATTATTAGGTGTGTTGCTGGAATAAACCCCTTGCCTTAAACCTCTTTTATTAAATTTAAATAGTTTTCTAAATTTATATGCTTTCCATGTTTCAGAAACATTCTCCTAAAAGAGAACATTCAAAACCCCCTTCTCCTTTACATAAACTATTAAACCCAAAAACCCTCCTTTTTTTCCCCAAATCCAATTTTCTGTAAATTTAAACAGTTTCCCTTTAAAAAGGAATTCCCCTGCCCCCAAGTTGAGGTGCATTTTAAAGGCACTTTTACAATATAGGGGTTGGGGGTTCATATTTCTACATCCCTTTTCCCTAATACTTTTTATCACATAAATCATGCAATTATTTTTATAAAAAATTCTTTTGATTTAACCCTTAAAAAATTACCCCCAAATTCCCCAATATTAAAACATTACTTTCCAAATTTAAGATAAATATTTCTTGAAAATTTATGTATCATTATTTTCATGTTTACTAATTTATTAAAAAAATTCCCAAATATCCCGTTAAATTTAAAATTTTTAAAACCAGTTACCCTAACACATTCTCAAAAAAAAAGTGTAACCATTTGGTTGATTCTCTCAAAATTTAAAATTCCCGAACCCCCCTATGCATTTTTTTCCTTTCAAATTACAATTACTTAACAACCTGGGAATTTCAAATCTCTCAAAACCTACTTTTGGGAATGTTTTTTTTAATTGACCATATTTTAAAAATTTTCGCTAAAAATTTAACCCATTCCTATAAGCAATTGGAACAAAGGCCCTCACCAACAAAAGCTTTTCCCAAATCCAAAAATGAATACAAACTTCCCTCCTTTTTTTAAAAACTTTAAAAATTTACAACAATAGTTAGGGAAAAATTTGTGATCTAAAATCCCCCCCATTAAACTTTGTTGAATCCACAAAAGTTTACCCTAATTTTATTAAAATTACCCAACATTTTCCCTTTCTCAGTGTTTCCCTATAATTTTTTAAAATCTTTGTTATAATTATATAAATTTTAATTTCCAAATGGCAATTCCCTTTTATAATTTTTTTTAAAAAAGTCCCAAAATAAAACATTCTCTTTTAAAATTTTTGGGGGTGATACAGTTCCATGTTACCCCTTTCATTTTTCTTGTCACGCCATCCCCCCCTTACCATTAGGGGGTCTTTTCCCCTTCCCAAAAGGGGGTCATACCCCCCGGGCAGCTGAAAATTCGTTTTTCTCTTCATTTAAAAAATTTCCAAAAATTGATTAAAAATTTCCTCTCCCCTTTTCCCCCCGTTTTTGAACAAATTTTTGGGTTTCTAACAGGTTTAATGTTTAATTTTGTTTCACTAACTTTGGTAAGTACAAAATTTTCCCCCTTTATTCCCCTTGGAAAAATTTTTTTAAATTAGAAAATTTTTGTAAAATTTTAAAAATTTTTTTAACCTGAAATTCTCAATTAAATTTTTCAAAACTGAAAAAGGACACAATTTTCCATTTGACACTTACTTTTTTTGAAGATTGGTGTGATTGAGGGGTGGGAGGAGGGGGAGCATTTTTTTTTCTTTTTAGAAGGGGAATCCCCTTCCTTTGGGGACTTGGGGTAGCAAGTCTTTTCGGGTTACTTCCCTTCTTTTTTTTAATGCCACTAGGACCAGCTTGAGAGTCACTGGACCTCTGTGCACAACAATCGTTCCATAGAGCTCTGTACCTCACCGTTCCTTCAGACTTTCCTAAAATGGGCCATAACATTGTCATTGAAATAGTCACCAGCACGGCTTGCAACAGCTGTGTCAGGGTGATTTTCATTATAAAGGTTTGCGGGTTAACCCATGTGCCACATTCCCTTAAATTTTTAAGTAGACAAATGATTCCACAAACTGGCCATAGGCTCTCAGGTTAGCCCAAACCTTCAAAATCTTCTTAATTCCATACTAATTCTCACCCTTTTTACCACAGGGTTGGCACAGAAGCTTTCTTGGGGCCCATGGTCACTTATTTTCCAGAAACAGCACCGAAACAACTGTAATAATACGAAATATTCCGAGTGTATGCTTGGATGTTACCGCGGAGGCTGGCTGGTAAACAATGGGACGGCCGGCATATGTGAGGGCACATTGGACGCGTCTCGGACGAAAATCGGTATGCGGGTTTTTAATCGGTATGCGCGGCAAAAATTTTGCGATAAAAGTAATCGTTATGCGGAAAAATCGCTATGCGATGCCATCGTTATGCGGGGGTCCACTGTATATATAAATATCATTACGTATATAAAGTTGATATTTCAAATAATATTTACCAAATGGCAATCACTGTAACTGATAATTTTTATATGTGAAAACGCTGAAGTGCAAATATGATTAAAACATTACTCTACCTTCGGGCATGATGACAGTGATGCCTATGTTATCTCCTATACTTGTGGAAGGGCCATCAGGGGCCTGTGATGGGCCATTAGGGGCCGGTGATGATACCACTGGCTCTGAATGGGTCAATGACTCGGGCAGCGGAAGCGGTTGTAATTCAGTGCTCTCATTTACAGATTTGGCATGATGATGTAATGTGGTGCTCTCATTTGCAGCTTTGATACGATGTAATGTGGTGTTCTCATCAACAGGCTTGGTATGATGTAATGTCGTGTTCTCATCTGCAGACTTTGTATGATACAATATGCTTCTTTAATTCTTGAAATATAGTTAGCTGCATTTTTGTAAAATTGAATTACTTGAAGATTCCCCTCCCCTCCACTATTAATTTTGTATCAAAACTAATCTAGCAAGTTAATCTAGCTCTGTTTAAACTTGTATAAAATAATTTATAGTGCATAACTCATTATAAGAATTTGTGTAAATTTAGTTAACTGTTAACTTGGGGGTAAGGAAGTGAAGGGCAATGATCAGGCAACCCATATTTGGATATACAGTATATTGTATTTTTACATCACAGGGTTATATACACCTCTATCTCATTTGTAATTTGTTAAACGGTCCAGGAGGGACTGAAATATCACCTAGTTTCTATTTCCAACTTGTGGACTGGTGCGTACTGTGTATAGTTACAATAATTTACCTGGTCATTCACCTTGGAAGAGTCAAAGTTTTGCAGTCCCTCAGCAAGAGAGGTTGTCCTGCTGGGCAGTAGGGTGGAGAGCGAAACATTGTGTCCCTCAGACACTTCTATGAGTCCCTCTGCATAATGTCTTGTTTTTCGCCTTCGTCTTTTCCCATGACCCGAGGGCTGGAACAAGTCTAGACAGAACTCCTGTGCAGTAAATCAAATGGAATTTTTCTTTACTTCATCAAATAGGACTTTAGTTATTTTGGCCATTACATTGTACCTTCTGAGGCTTTGTTAGCTACTTTCAAATATATTTCATGGAAAAATTTGCAGTATTAGAATCTGAGGATATGAAATGCATTCAGAGGGTAGAAGGGGTTGCCAAGGCAGGTTGGTACATATAAAAAAGATGGAAAAGAATAGGATGCTCAAGAGGATACATAAATACGAGGTGGAAGGAAGGTGAGATTGGACGAGTGTGAAGAGGTTGCAAGTGGAAGGAGCTTGAGCATCCAGCAGGCATGTGTGAGCATATTACATCAGGGTGAGTGAAGATGAGGGGTTTTAGGGGTTTGACATGCTGTTAGAGCTTGAGCAATGTAACATTTATGAAAGGATTCAGGGAAACCAATTAATTGGAACCAAATCTTGAGAGTGGAAGTACAGTGCCTGCACCCTGAAGGAGGGGTGGGATATTACTATTTTATAACATTTTTGTGAAGCACCAATCCCGTGTGGGTCAGTCTGTGCAGGGAGAACTGGAGGCTCGACCCTCCATTTACTAAGAGAAGAAGCTGGGAGGTTAAAATCTGGAGGGTTATTTCATCTGTGATGTCTGTGCACAGCTGGCAAGAAAGATACTGAATGATGCCTTTTTTGGGGGGATGAAGGGGGGGAACTACCTTGGTGGGAGATAGCTGATGTTTAAAAAAAAAAATTACCACAATGATGTATAAGAAAAATATTTTAAAACATAGGGTTTGGGACTTATGATCAATAAAGCCAATGTAAAATGAATCTAAAAATAACATAACAATGGATGAAGTGATTAAACATTAAAATGCAGTGTTAAGAAACAATTTAAGTCAATGCCTTTTATTTAGCCCTTGAAATTTATGTACAAGTGAGTGCTAGTCTAAAAAATGCACATAGGAGGCATATGATGATTTGAAATAATAAACTGGGATGCTAGTACTAACTTGCAAGTCCCCCCCCCCCCCAAAAAAAAAAAAAGAAAGTAACCCTTTAATCGAAAAATTAGACACATGCAACATCTGGGTGTCTTTATTGTAGACATTTCACCAGTATATAAGCACCAGCTTTCTTGAATGTGCTCACAGTGCAGCAGACAAGTGTAGTAGTAGCAGCAACAGCACACACAGCAAGAGGCATTCTTGAGCTTCCCAGCACTTGGGCTTCAGCCCAACTGGGGTGTGACTTGAAAAGGATTCTGTAGTGCTTGCTGCCTTTGCACCTCTTGACATCATCTGCTGCTATGCAGCTGCCACATCCTTTGAGCCCAGTGTGGGCAGGGTTTGTGGCAGCCCAAGAAGCCTAGCTTCTCCCTCTGAGTCCTGTGGGGGCGGGGAATGGGGCTAGGCTGGGGACAGCTGGTCCCAGAGGACAAGGAGGTACTTGTACCTCCTCCCATGGCAGGCATTGGTCTGAGACACCCACGACAGGGAGCCAAGGCCAGGCCACCTCTTGGAAAGGGCCAAGGCTGGGTGATTATACCAGCGAATCTACTACCTACAATGAATGTGCTCTGGAATCTTCATGACTATGGTGCTCTTCACACCAACTCCAAGGCTGAGGGACTGATTACCTCATCTTTTGTATATAGTTCTTCTGTCTTCCAATTATGCCCTTGGATTTGTATTGATAAAGCCACTGAGTGGCAAAATGTCTACAATAAAGACACCCAGATCCTGCACATGTGTAATTTTTCATCTTGTTGATATTGTATATCATTCATTTACAGCTTTTTAATCCACAAGAGATACGCATGGAAGCGATAAACAGATTTGTACTGCAGGGCAGAAACAAACACAAGGAGAGCCAAGTAGTGGGCTTAATTCTGTTTATAAACCCTTAAGGCCCATTCAGAGCAAGTAACAGACTTGACCCAGCATATCCACCTAAATGTTTGTCATTCTGTGCAAGAGTGGTGGAAACTTATGAATAACTAAAGCATTTGAAAGGGTATTGGTACAGCAGAAGCATCTCCAAAAATAAACCCAGGGTGAAGGTTCATATACGTAAATTATGTTGTGCATGAGGATCAATTTAATGAGTGTTTCTGTGAAGGTTCAAAGACAGAAAGACATTAGAAGAGGATCAGCTTAGAAATAAGGTTGCAACGGTCTCAAAACATACATTAACTACATTCTCTAACATGCCATACTCACAGGAAGGCAATCTCGAGAATCGATGCAGGCCTTAACTGTAGCGTGGATCCATAGCTGTGTCGATCCTGCCAACTTGGAGTCTAGCATAAAGGCCTCAAAGTCGAGTCGTACTTCACCCGTTTGGTCCTCCACACGATGTGGCTGCTGTGGTACAATTGATGAGAAATCTGGTAGTCGACATCTGTGCCATGAATGATTACCATTAACTCATTTTTTCACTGCTTTGCTAATATACACCAAAAAATATGCTCTGCTTATATCATTACTATTTTATAAAAATATTTGTGATACAAATATGCCATTCCTTGCTTATAAACATATTTAGGATTGTACAATACTTGAATGAGTATAACAAAACTACAAAACTTAAGACTGTAAATGATATTTAATACCCTATGTGAATTTTCTTTTGTACAAGATTTTCATCTTGAGGCAGGTTCCTCGATGCTGGTGAGGGGATCTTGATGCAAGGAAGTGTAACTACCTTTTCTTTCCTTGGACTGAACCTGATTGCCTCCCATGTCCACAGGCACCGTATGACTTACACGGTGGAACCTCGGTTTTTGTCTTAATTCGTTCCAATAAGTCTGACGAAAACCAAATCGACGAAAACTGAAGTAATATTTCCCATAAGAAATAATGTAAATCCAATTAATTTGTTCCAGACACCCAAAAGTATTAATAAAAAATACATTTTATAGAGAATAACTATAGTTTTACATACAGAAAACAATGATAAATAAATATAAAAGCCTAATGAAATGGATAAATGAACATTAAACATTACTTTTACTTTTACTGTATTAAAGACTCTTGTTGGTGTATGGAAAATGGCGAGGAGGGAAGAGGGAGGAGAGGGTAATGTTTGGAAGGGAAATCCCCTTCCATAAGGACTTCAGGTATCAAGTCCCTCTCTAGGGTTACTTCCCTTCTTTGTCTTTTACTGGCACTAGGACCAACTTGAGTCACTGGACCCCAGTCGCACAAAAAAATCTGTCCAGAGAGGTCTGTTTCTGGCATCTCTAAGATTTGCCTAAAATGGGACAAGGCATTGTCATTGAACATGTTGCAGACACAGCTTGCAACAGCTTTGTTAGGATGATATTTCTCCACAAAACTTTGCAACTCACTCCACTTTGCACATGTCCTTAATCACTGAAGAAGGCACATTCTCCCATCTCTCTTCCTCCTTCTCCTTCTCCTCTAAAGCAATTCTGTCATGTTTCTCGCCTTCTTTATCAAACAGTTGCCACTCGGAAGTTTCTTTGGCCCCATGGTGACTTACTTAGCAGTCGCACTCGATAAACAAGCACAAAAAACAATGGATTATTATGAAATGTTTCGTATGAATGTGGAGGATAATGTTTACTCAACGAGAAACAAAGCCAGACTGACTCAGAATGTGTGCGTGAAATGCTTTGTGTGGGTGCAGGCAGGTGGATACGGTCGGTACGGCGGACGAAAACCAAGGTGATGAACAAAAACCGAGACAAAATTTTGACGAAAAGTCGTTGAAAAACAAATTCTACGAAAACCATGGCAAACGAAAACAAGTGGTTCCATTGTATATTCAGTGATTTACCCTAAATAATAATAATAATAAAAATTTGTAATACAGTCACTCATCACTTAGCGATGTACTCGTTTACCAACAACTTGGACTTACAGCAGGCTCCTTGACCAGTATGCATACCTAAATAATGTACATTATAGCCAATTTCCTGTATTCTGTTTATTACTATTGTTACGGAGTACAGTGGACCCCCGCATAGCGACTTTAATCCGTGCAAGAGGGCTCATTGTTATGCGAAATGATCGGTATGCGAATGAATTTTCCCCATAAGAAATAATGGAAATCAAATTAATCCGTGCAAGACACCCAAAAGTATGAAAAAAAAAAAAATTTACCACATGAAATGTTAATTTTAATACACACAAACTGAAAAAGGCATGCACAATTACATGACACTTACTTTTATTGAAGATCTGGTGATGATTGATGGGATGGGAGGAGGGGAGAGAGAGTGTTAGTGTTTAGAAGGGGAATCCCCTTCCATTAAGACTTGAGGTGTCGAGTCCTTTTCTGGGGTTACTTCCCTTCTTCTTTTAATGCCACTAGGACCAGCTTCAGAGTCACGGAACTTCTTTCGCACAATATATCTGTCCATAGTGGCCTGTACCTCTCGTTCCTTTATGACTTCCCTAAAGTGTTTCACAACATTGTCAGTGTAATAATCACCAGCACGGCTTGCAATAGCTGTGTCAGGGTGATTTTCATCAAAAAAGGTTTGCACTTCAAGCCACTTTGCACAGATTTCCTTAATCTTTGTAGTAGGCAATTTCTTCAATTTCTCTCTCCCCTCCTTCGAACCAGTTTCCTCAGGTCTGGCCTCTTGCTGTTGAAGTTGATCTATCAGCTCATCAGTGGTTAGTTCTTCATTGTCCTCCTCCACCAACTCTTCCACATCATCCCCACTAACCTCCAACCCCAAGGACTTTCCCAATGCCACAATGGATTCCTCAACTGGCATAATCCTCTCAGGGTTAGCCTCAAACCCTTCAAAATCCCTTTTGTCTACACATTCTGGCCACAGTTTCTTCCAAGCAGAGTTCAAGGTCTTCTTAGTCACTCCCTCCCAAGCCTTACCTATAAGGTTTACACAATTGAGTGCCTTTTCCTCCTGAGTAATGTAGGTCCTGCTTGGCATTTTCTTCCAAAATAGGCCTGTTTCATCACAATTAAACACTTGTTCAGGTTTCAGTCCTTCACTGTCTATGTACTCCTTGAATTCCTGCACATATTTTTCAGCTGCTTTGTGGTCCGAACTGGCAGCCTCACCATGCCTTATCACACTATGTATGCCACTACGCTTCTTAAATCTCTCAAACCAACCTTTGCTGGCCTTAAATTCACTCACATCATCACTAGTTGCAGGCATTTTTTTAATTAAATCCTCATGCAACTTCCTAGCCTTTTCGCTTATGATCGCTTGAGAGATGCTATCTCCTGCTAGCTGTTTTTCATTTATCCACACCAATAAGAGTCTCTCAACATCTTCCATCACTTGCGATCTCTGTTTCGAAAACACAGTTAAACCTTTGGCAAGAACAGCTTCCTTGATTGCCTTTCTGTTGCCCACAATAGTAGCGATGGTTGATTTGGGTTTCTTATACAACCTGGCCAGGTCGGTGACACGCACTCCACTTTCATACTTATCAATGATCTCTTTCTTCATCTCTATAGTAATTCTCACCCTTATTGCTGTAGGGTTGGCACTAGAAGCTTTCTTGAGGCCCATGGTCACTTATTTTGCAGATAAAAATCACCAAAAACACTGTAATAATACGAAATGTTCCGATTGTATGCTTGGATGTTACCGCGGAGGCTGGCTGGTAAACAATGCCATCGCGGCACATGTGAGGCTGGCTAAGGGCGCACATTGGACGCGTCTCGGACGAACAGCGGTGAGCGGGTTTTTGAGCGGTATGCGAGCAAAATTTTTGCGATAAAAGCGAGCGGTATGCGGATTGAACGTTATGTGATGCCGACGGTATGCGGGGGTCCACTGTACTGTAAAAAAATATTTATATAAAATAATGCTCCATATATAATATAATTTTCCGTGTAGTATTACTGAGAGTGGACATGTATTATTCCCTGAAAGCGAAAGTGAAAGTGTTTTATTCCTAAACTATACAGTACACTATGGCATAAACATTTAAAAATATACCAGATACCAGAAATGTTATAAATGGTAGAAAGGTGGCAATAAAACAATATCAAAGATAGTTAACACAAACCCACTACCATTATAGTATGCTCCACTTAGTGACGAATTCGTTTAGAACATGGTCTTAGGAAAAAAATCCCCCCCAGTACCAACAATACCACCAGTCCGATAACATTCTTCTTTGCAAATATACAGGGTCTAAAGCCAGCAACAAACAACAAAATACCTTTCATCCGTGGACTGCTTGCAGAGGCAAAGGCAATGTTCGCGGCTTTCACTGAGACCCACATAAAGGATCACTTGGACAACGAAATATGGATCCCAGGTTACAACCTATACAGATGTGACAGAGTGAACAGGCAAAAGGGGGGGGGTTGGCCTGTACATTGCAGAGTCACTTGTTTGCACAGAACTGCTAAATGCCTCAAATGATGTAGTGGAAGTTTTAGCAGTAAGGTCGAGAACCAAAACCTAGTCATTGTGGTAGTCTACAAGCCTCCGGATGCAACATCCCAGCAATTCCAGGAACAGCTGTTAAAAATTGACCACTGTCTGGAAAACCTTCCAGCTCCTGACCCAACATCTTGCTCCTGGGGGATTTCAACTTAAGGCACCTAAAATGGAGGAATATAGCAAATAATATTGTTGCAGTAATAACACCAGGAGGCAGCTCTGATGAAAACTCACACTCACGCGAGCTTTTAAATCTCTGCACAAAATTCAATTTAAACCAGCAAATAATAGAGCCTACTAGACTGGAGAATACACTAGACCTCATCTTCACTAACAATGATGATCTGATAAGAAATGTCACCATATAAAAAACAATATACTCAGATCACAACATAATTGAGGTTCAGTCATGTATGCGCGGAGCCCCAGACCGACATAATGATATTAGTCACGAGGGAGCATTCACCAAATTCAACTTCAATAACAAAAACATAAAGTGGGACCAAGTAAACCAAGTCCTAACCGATATAAGCTGGGAAGATATACTAAGCAACACAGACCCCAACTTATGCCTAGAACAGATTAACTCGGTGGCACTCGATGTATGCACAAGGCTTATTCCTCTAAGAAAAAGGAGGAGTAGATGTAAAACAGAAAGAGACAGGCGCTCCCTTTACAGGAGACGGAAAAGAATAACAGAGCGGCTAAAAGAGGTCAATATATCCGAAATGCGTAGGGAGACACTGGTCAGAGAAATAGCAAGCATCGAACTTAAGCTAAAAGAATCCTTTAGGAGTCAGGAATCGCGGGAAGAACTAAAAGCCATATTTCTTCTCCTATGCCAAATCAAAATCGAGAACAACGTCCAGTATTGGGCCCCTACTTAAACAAGATGGGTCCTACACAGATGACAGCAAGGAAATGAGTGAGCTACTCAAGTCCCAATATGACTCAGTTTTTAGCAAGCCGCTAACCAGACTGAGAGTCGAAGATCAAA